AAATAATAATTATTATTTTTTTATTGTCAGTGCACAACATATGTACAATGAGATTGGTTGAGCTCCCTCAGTGCACCCCCCCAATACAATAAAACTCACAGTGAAGACATATACATATGTGTGTGTGTGTGTGTTTGTCTTCACTGTATATATATCCCTAACCCAATAAATCATATTAACAAACACCCAGTCCCATTACACCAGTTTGAACATATATTATAGCACCGTAATATACTTTTACTAGACAATTACAATTTACTTAACAACAATACCAAAGTGTTCGTTTGATGAATAAAGACAATTTCTGACATATACCGTATGTCATCTCGAGGCAAAATGGGTGGCAAGCAAATTGATACAGAACATCTACTAAATTAATAAAAATAAAATATTACTGTTTGGTAAGGCACATACCTTTAAGTCAGATTGCTGCTATTTTGCTCACAAGACACTTCCTCTTTGTAGTTGCACTCCATCAATATTATCACCTAAAAGGCTGTTCTGAAGAGAGGAGGATAATAAGAGAATATGAAACACATACTTGCAGAAGAGAGGTCTTAGGAAACAGAAGAGAGCTTCTCTTTCTGAAACTGACTCAAATTTTGTCACCAATAAAATGGAGCTATATTGAAATATAGGGGAACATGTGCGGTAGATATTACAAGTGAGGAAATATCAACAGCACAGAAACCTTCCTTTAGTGTGTATGCAAGTCAACACAGGTTTTAAGAATTGGTATGCTTGGTTTGCTTAGTAAGCCCAATGGACTATAAGCTCTACATGCACATACACAACCGGTTTTGAGGAAGTACAGATTGTCATCCCAGATAGCACATTTAGACCTGGAACAAGGAGACCTGGACTGAACTCCTTGCACAAGAAGATTGCTGAGAATTGGTTAATAAGTGTTGCTTTGGATTGCTAGACTAGGAAAATAAAACCAGTCTTCAAGATGAGAAGAATTAGGCCTAGTAGTCAGGTTGGGTTGAGCCATTTTATTCTTGGAGGACCAAATCACATTTGATCGTTTTTCTTTTTCTCCTTAGTTCTAGTTTGGTTCTCTCCTTGATTAGTTTCCATCCATTGCTTCTTGTCCTGTACTCAGAGGCTTTGGAGAATAGGTTGACCCTCTCTTCTCTGTGACAGTCCCTCAAATATTGGAAGACTGTTATGAGGTCATCCCCACCCTTCTTTTTATCATCCTAGTTCTTGCAATTGTTCATCATAGAGCATCAACTGTAGCCTCCAATCCCCTAATCATCTTTGATGTTCTTCTCTTNCAATGTGTGTTGGATATGTTTGCTACCTTGAGTTATTTGTAAAAATAATAACGGCAGGATACAAATGAATACATAAGTCAGTCAATCAGTCAGTACCAGTAAGTAAGTAAGTAAGTAAGTAAGCAAGTAAGTAAGTAAGTAAGTAAGTAAGTAAGTGGCATAGATCCACACTTTGAACCTAAAAGCAGTAGTAATATAACTTACGGATTAATAAGAACCAAACTGGTCCAATGATTAAGGCATCAGGCTATAGAGTAGGAAACTGAATTTAAGTGCCACCTTGGCCATGAAATCCAGCTAGATGACTTGGGGCCAGTCACTCTCTCTCAGCCCAACCCACTTCACAGGGTTGTTATTGTGGAGAAAATAGGAGGAGGAAAATTTATTGGATATGTTTACCCGAGATGGTTTGCCAATTTTCCTACTACCAGTTCAGGCATGCTCCCGTGCGCGCATTACACTTCTGCACACACGCAGAAGCATCCAGGTGGGTGGGCAGAGCCTCCCGCTGCCGCTACTACCAGTTCGCCTGATCTGGGCCGAACCAGGAGCAACCCACCTCTGGTTTACCCCTTGGATTACTTGTAAAAATAATAAGTAATAGAAATAAACACAAAATGGAGAAGGTAGAAGATCTTAGCAAGAAGGCCCAGCCAAAGGACAATAAATCACTTGTGATACATCTTTGGAAATATTAATTTTCAACACCTTTTAGGCTTAGCCTGTTGCAGTTGGAAGTTCTCAGTCCATTTTCTTTTGAAGGAGAATAGAAAGAATGGGAGATAGTTTAATTCCGCTCCAGATCAACATTCCATAAATTGTTTATCATCTACATGGAATCAGTGAATGGAATGCCATCTGTACGGAATACATAAATTGCCTCCTTCAACTTTTCCCCACAATTACTGTCAGCCCAGTCACCAAGTCAGCTTCCATGGCTGAGAAAAATTTGAACCCAACTCTGCTAGTCAACACCTTAATCACTACATCAAATTGGCTCTCCAGTTTATGGCTCCACATATTGTCCAAGGCAAGAAAAGAGGTCAATAATTCAGTAATCAGTGCCACACTTTCTAAAACTCTTCCTTTTACATAGCACCAAAAGGATTTTGGAGTCTTTACAGTTACAGAATTAAAGAAACCAAGCGAAAGAGGAGACGGAATACATTTTGAGAAAGAGGTAGAAGATACAAAATATTCCGTGTCCAAATCTATTTGTGAGTTACAACAGCATTTTTCTTAGTGAAAAAAACCCCAAATATTGATTTTGGTGAAATAGTCAAAATCTTCTTAAGCATACTAAGCATTCCGTAGAATAATATTAAAGTTTATCTGTTTGTCTAGTTTTATAAGCTGTCTGCAACTGAGGCAAAATAAAAACTGAGTTTTGTATTACATGATTAGCATGCAAGAAAAAGCACACTGTCCTCTTCTTCATGCTGACAGCTCATATTTTAAAGGACTGTGGAGGCTTAGAATAAAACACTCAGATTGAATCAATTATATAATCGTGTGTAAATGTAGTAGTACTGGGCCGATTTATGACTGGTGGTAACTGAGGGGGTTACAGAATTTACGTATTGAAAGAAAACAGAAGATTCAAGAATGTATACTGCTATACCTCCTTATCTCTCTCATTCCACAGTGAAGTTATAGAAACAACTTTTAAAATAACAAAAACCTTTGTTATCAAAGACACTATATTGCCTTTCCAGATACACAACTGAAATGTTTTCACACATTGAAGAATATCTGTGTCGCCTTTGTGGTTATCTTTTTATGATGATTAATTGTAAAGCTATGCTCTCAGTTGGGTCTCCCATTAATATACACATATGTCCGAATTGTCCTTTATCTATCTTTTGCGTATTACCTAAATAATCTATTGGCTCTTGCTCTTAGTTCTTATGGGTGCAAGAGACCAGTGAGTCATAGAAAAAAATATTTGTAGCTCAGGATTAAACATCTGGTGATGTTACCTCATTGGCTAATGAAACATCTGCAAGAAAACAAGCAAGCTCAGATAGTACTCAAGAATCACACAGGTCAGTAACTAATTGCTATGTTTGGAAAATAAAATTATCATTTGGCATATCCAAGCTTGTTGGTGTTTTTCTAATACAGGACAGTCTTGATACAGTCCCTGCCTTTAGTTAATATCAGATTTTTCCAAATAACAACAACAATAACAACAACAACAATAATAATAATTGTTCCTGAAGATACCAGAGTCAAAGAAAAAGAACTAGAAAAAATAATGAAATATTATTCATGACCTGGCCATCGAAACTACACGGCTATGGATGAAGCATGTAACAGTGATACCCATTGTCATCGGGGCACTTGGCACCATGTCCAAGAATTTTACAAGATACATCAACAAATTGCAGCTTCCTGCAAAAAAACTGCACTACTCAGAACATCTTATATTTTAAGAAGGTACTTGGTTGATACCTAGGACGCTGGCANCCTTTTTTTGAACTATTACCATCTGGCAGACGGTACAGGATAATAAAAACAAGGACAAATAGGCTGAAAAACAGCTTCTGTCCCAGGGCGGTAATCATATTGAATTCTACAGTATAGTGCAATATTAATACAATATCAGGGGTTGTCAATTCAATTGTATAGAATGTGAAGGTGGTGTTTTTTTATATTTGTAATGTACACTGACGGTGGCATTTAATTATGCTGTACAAGGTGCAATGACAATAAAGTAAACTAGCTAACTTTAAACTGTCGCTAAAGGTACTGTTGCAAGTCCAGGACTACCTATACCTCCTCTGTACGAGCTTTTAAGTCTCACCTCTTGGCTGGCTGGCTCAACTTGCTCTTCAGAGTGGATGCTCCTGCAACCGATGCTTTATTTTTAGGAAGAGTGCTTTTTGCTCCTGTGGCCACGCTGTTGCTCCGGTACACTGAACTGCCACCACTCGAAGCGCTTGGGTTCAGTGTGGAAGACTGTAGCTTTCGGACTCGGCCAGCCGGGCTACCATACCCAGCAGATCTAACTGGCTGCCGTGGGGTGAGGAGAGCGTTAGCACAGGGCCCTGCTTTCACAGGCTGACGGACTGTCAGAGGGGACTGCCCAGCACCAGATGAATAGCGTAGCTTATTTGGAGTCAGACCTTAAAGCAGAAGGGAGGAGAAATAAAGACGATATTATAAAACGAGGGTCAATTTGGGGATCAGAAGGAGAGAAACGTTTTCAGGCAAAGTCACACGGCTAAACCTGATCCAGGCACAGAAGTCAAATTTTCAACTGAATCCACAAATTAAAACGTAAAGGTTTCCTCTGCCCAGTCTTGTCCAGCTCTAAGGGGCCGTTTCTTAGCCGAGGGAGCCAGCGTTTCTCCAAAGACATTTCGGTGGTCATGTGGTCGGCATGATTTTAGACCAAGAGGCACGGAGTGCTGTCACCTTCCCATGGAAGTGGTACCTATTCATCTACTTGCATATTTGCCTGCTTTCAAACTGCTAGCTGGGCACCGCAAATTAAATTAGTAGCCAATTCATTTGGCAAAACACGTAGCGATACAGCAAACGTATGACAGCAAACGAAGCTGCTGTATTCGGCACAGCTGAAATTTATGAGCAATATTCAAAGATAGCTCTAGGAAGAACGCATTAGAATAACCCAACTGAGACTTCTACACTAAGAATGATTGTGATCTGGTACATTTCTTCAGAGAAGGCTGATATCCCAGATGAAATTCTGAAAGGCACTTCTGGAGTGTCGTTTTTTTTTTAAGAGAGAGATCTCATTATTTCAAATCGTATGTGAGATTTAAAAGCTGTGTTTCTAAAAAGTGGATTTGGAAGCAATGGTGCTAGTTGCCACTGAGTAAAGGCTCTAATTCTATCGGCGGGAAAAGATTTTTGTTTGAGATGCCTTTTTTTTTTTAAGGGAAGTTGTACTTAGTGTTTATTGTACTCAATGTATCAATTAATGTGTCAATTAAGTCGTACTTAATGTGTAAGCCACTTGTCTAAAATGGTAGGGCAGGGGGTTGGACTAGAAGACCTCTAAGGTCCTTTCCAGCTTTATTCTGAATTAAAATAACTAAAAACAAAGGTTCCCAAACTGAAAACCATTACTTCAGGGAATGCGCAGCCTCATTAAAACCTGTAAGATCGCTCAAACAACATGCTATATTTCCTACATTGGTCATCACACCGACTGAAATGTCATAGGACACTCAGAGAAGCAGCAGCCAACTTACTGATGGATTCCTGATGGATTCTAGAGAGTCGATTACTGGGAATCTGTAAATCTGAGTCCAAGCTTCGGCTATTTCTTACTGACTCCAAAGATCGCAGACCGGTCCTAGCCAGGTTAGGCATGCTGTGACGCAGTTCCTCTGTGAATGATAACATAACAGTAACTGAAAAATCCAACTGCTGCTACCCCGTTTCCCTGAAAACAAGACTCGGAAGTAAGCCCTAGCATGTTTTACGTGTGTGCCTAATATAAGTCCTCCCCCCCCAAAATAAGCCCCACTTAAGAGCCTGTGCAGCCAACCGCCCATCCATTCTGTCTGGTTGCTCACTGTACCATATGGGGGGTGGGGGGGTGGAGCTTCCCCATGTGCCCCTCACTGGCTTATCTCCCTAAGGTAAACCAGTCCTGGGCATGTGGGTCAGCTCCATTCCCCTGCCTTGCCACCGCGGCAGCAGCGCGTCGTTCGGCCTCCTGCTCCATTGTGCCTGTGAGCAAGCAGAAGTGGGCTGGTAGCCACACGTGGCCCTGCTGGACGGGGCTGCTGGACGGAGTCACCGCTGCCGCAAGGAGAGGCAGGTGTCGGGGCATGTGTGGCCTGGCTATGGGGACTCTTCGGTGAGCCAGTGCAGGGTGTGCAGGGCAGCTCCACCCTCTCTGCCTTGCGGCGGCAGCACTGGCACACTGCGCAGCCTCCTGCCCCACTGCGAGCAAGGAGAAGAAATGAATTTCCTGTACATGGGGGGGGGGATTAAGACACCCCCAGAAAACAAGCCCTAGTGCTTATTTTGGGGCCCAAAATAAAATAAGACCTAACTCAAACCCTGCTGGTTCAAAAACCCAGCAAGATTCCGAAACGGGAGCACACACCTTCATTCGAAGAATACTTTAGTCTATCCTGCATTGGGCTCTGCACTGTCCTTCGCGGTGGCCGAATTCGGGTATTTGTGGCTCTCCCGTAATCTGCGTTTGTGGATGGAGACTGACATCGCGGTGAGCTGAGTGGGGATGGAGAGTATCTGTGGCTGCTGTGATAGGAGAAAGAGCAGTCATCGTCCTCATCTTCCAAACTGTATGTGTCAAAATCCTGGTCACTGTAGGTGCCCCTGCGCAAGGAGTGTAAAGAGGCACTGGAACTGCGGCGGGAAACGGAGGCCGAGCTGGAGGCACAATCCTGGCGAAGACCTGAAGTAAGGCCATGGCCAACAGAAGACATGGTTACTTCTAGCAATACCAATTCCTGAACGAGACAACTGATTAAGTAGGATTTAAATTTCAGATGTTTGATTCCTGAGGAAATATTAGTCGCCTGGAATGAAAAAAAGATACAGTCTGGATTCCATAGATAAGGCACCTGAATTCTATGATCATCACTTCAGTTCATATGAGGAACGAAGGAGAAGAGAGGAAATAGATAATAAAAGACAAGGACAAGGCCCATTTACAAGTGAAACAATGGAGGAAGAAATAAAATTATTATCAATGAACATAAATGGATTGAACTTGCCTATGAAAAGGAAAAGAACTTTTACCAAATTACAAAAATTAAAATTAGATTTAATTTGTCTTCAAGAAGACATTTACTTCTTGATGAGGCTGTTTTAGCAAACCTGTGATGATATTTTAATATTTCCCACAAAAGGGCTAGCAAAGCAAACATGAAAGCAACCACATCAGATGTGTACCAAAGGTAATGAAACCCACACAAAGCAACGGCAGCGTTTTCTGCTCGTAGCCTCAATCATTTTAAAGGCGCCAAAATGAGGGCTACAATCTAGCTTTAACATCTGCAGACACAATCAATCACAGAACAAGTAGTTTACATGTATTTCAGCACTCGTAGCCATTATTCTGCATTTTAGGGCAGAGTAACAATCCTGAGTTTTGATGGTGACAGCATGTTGTAAATCCACAGGACTTCCCTCAGACATTTAGGCAAACATCAGCATATCAACTTCTTCATTCTATAACTTTTTCATTTTACACGTTTGTGAGTAAGAAACCTAATGTTTGATGCAATATACCGAGATATAAATGACCTTAGTTTATCAGAAACATAGTGCAATGCTGCAGTTCTTTAACAAAGGCTAAATGATCCATAATGAGATAGTCTAATGTAACCTGCTCTAAAAGCAAGACTCTTTTTCTTTCTTTCTTTCTTTCTTTCTTTCTTTCTTTCTTTTTCTTTCTTTTTTAATCTGGAGAAGAAAATACTTTCTTTTCTTCTCCAGATTGTTGGGGACAATATGCTGACTCTGTAAACTGCTTAGAGGGCTGTAATGCACTGTGAAGTCTAAGTGCTATTGCTATTTTCCCCAAAGATTGTTAAACTATGCTGGAACACACATGTACTTCAGAAGCAGCTGCAATGAGTTCAAGAGCAGGTGCTTCTAGACAGAAGCCAAAGCAGCAACATACATGTTTCTTCATGTTATTAAATGGGGACATCTTAATTACTTGTAGTGGCACCCAACTGCCCACCTAAGAAACGATCTATGTGTTCTCTTGGGTTGTTAGAATGAAAAAAAATTAATAGAAAAATAATATTTTGTATTATGGTTTCTAAGGGGGAAAAAAATCCTCCCGTAAGAGACAGAAATACCGTCAATTGTTTTCACCTACTTTCTTCCTGGAGGCGGGCCATAACTTGCACGTCAGTCAAGTCCTGCAGTTTGTAGCCCATTGAAATCGAGTCATCTGAGGTACTAAGTTCGCTATCGACAGAAGACTGAGAGCTCAAAGCTGAATGCATGTTCAAGTAACCTTAGAAAGAGGTGAGGGAGAAGGAAAAGGAGGGTGAGGGTGAAAACACTACAGATACAATTTTAAAATATACAGTCGTGGTACACATTTTTCTTCTAGTTTTGTACTCAAAAAACTCCTTACAAGGCAAACAAATTTATTGTAAGGATTGACCAGCAATGATTTCAAAGTGAGAGAGTTCTTTCAATATTCAATAAGGAGGGAAATTGTCCGGCCATATAGAATTCTAACTGTAGAATTCTGTTATTAAAAAAACCATCATTTCAGTTAATCTTTACCTATCCTAATGTCCCAGATGAATGGGCATTACTCCGAGTTGCCTCCTGTAAATCTTTGGCAACTCTGTTTCTGTGACGTGCAGGGGGAAAAAAGGATTATGGCCTGTAAAATAGTTTGGATGGAGCCACAGAAAGTCATCAAAATTAGGTCAAACATAATTAGATCATTTCCTCCAGCACCAGAAACACAAAACTATTTTGTGTTTGTGAATGCAAAGTCAACTTACTTTATTAGCTACAAAGTAATTTTAGTTTTTATACTATGAGTGAAGGGTTTTCCTAACAGCATGCGACTGAAGATATGAGTCACCATCCTCTATTAAAGAAGAGCACACATGCCAATATTAACATGGGTTGGCTTTACCGGATCATCAGTTCTTCATGTTTCAAGAGCTTCTTAGATTATATCAGTCTAGATGACCCCTTCACTTTCTGCTGCAGCTGGATGAGGATTTTTGAAAATTAATCTTTTCAAATTCTGAGTGTGAATTTAAAATAGTGCCCAAGCCTGCTGCAAAACATATTCTGTTTTTGGTTTGAATACTTCAGAGAAAAGTTATGTTTTTTTAAAAAATAGGCAAGACAAGAGAGCCAGACATTTTGGCCACCACGTTGCATTGTAAACATGTTACTAGTTCACAAGTGATTGTTTCTAGCTCTCTCTTCAATATATTTTATAGGCTATTTTGACATAAAGAGAGGGGGGACATTGTTTGCTTGACTGACCAGAGCAGATTCTTATTTTTAGACAAGCAGGCTACTTATTTGTAAAGTCCTGGACATGTTGAAAGCAGCAGTCGCTTAGTCATTAAACAAGAAACTCAGCTAATTACATGGTAAGATTCGTGTGTGTTTAAGCAGGATAAGTATCCGTGACTAGCCACAGGAATCTTAATTCCCTCCTAAGCAGCACTGTCATGTTTGTTACTCAGAAAGCAATTAAAATTACTAAAGCAGTGTAGGATCAAACGAGAGATTACCATTCTGAGTTAGCAACAGTTTTGATGGCTTTCAAAAGTAAATTCAGAGGGAACAAGGGGAGCAGATCAAAACTTAGGTACAGAAATTAAAACAGACCTTACTGCTATTCCAATCTAGAGTGAGGGCTCTGCACTTACAGGTGGATTTGATTTAAATCAAGTCAATTTAAATCACTAGTAAAAAGGCTTAATTTAAATCAACTCGATTTAAATCATAATTTTTAAAGAGCAACTGTAATCTCTGTCTGGCAACAGCTCCTCTTCTGACCTGCTGTTGACTCATTGACACTCCCAATGTTGCAGAATATATAGCCTCATGCTACATAACTAAGCTCCATTTATCAAAATAAATTTGATTTTAAAAAATCCAATCTAAATTTTAAAAATCTGATTTTTTAAAAACATTTTTTTTAAAAATCATCTATTTTTATCCACCCTGTGCACTTAATATTCATTGGAGAAATAAAATTCTTGTTCTTTTCAATGGGAGCTTCGCTCCCAAAACAAATTACCATGTGGAAAGGTAATGATCCAGAAGACAATCAAGATCAAAGACTTAAAACTGCCACGGGGCAGCCCCAGTCTGTCTAGAGCTCATCCTGTCCAATCGCTGCAACTGATTTATTGAAGTCATGCGAACAACTGCTAATTGTATAAATAACAGAAGCAAACTAGAACAGCAATGTGTCTGGGTAAAAAAATCTGTACAGAAATGTTTCTCAACCTTGGCAACGTTAAGACTTGTGGACTTCAGCTCCCAGAATTCCCCAGCCAGCTTTGCTGTACACCATTAAATATCTTAGCTATATATTGTTATACAGATATTCACCACTATTGCATTGCTATACAGCAAGGGTGTCAAACTCAAGGCCCAAGGGCCACATCTGGCCCATGGAATGCTTAGATCTGATTCGCGGGGCTGCCCTGGAAACAGTGACGGACCTGCCCGCGGTGATTCTGCCAGCGAAAATGGGCTCGCAATCTCTGTTTTTGGGTGGGACGGCTTCCTGGAAGTCTCTGCCAGTGAAAACAGAGCTCAGGAGGGCCACACCTGAAAACAGAGATTGGGGGGCCGTTTCCTCTGGCACTCAGGCCACTACAGGTGCCCCTGATACGAGTGACGTCAAGCTGGCCACACACCCCTGGCCATGCCACACACGCCCATCAAACACAATCTTGATGTGGCCCTCAATGAAATCAAGTTTGACACCCCTATTATATAGTATCAGCAAAATATGAGATTTGAGAGCAAGGTCTGTAAGGATTTCTTTTTCCCCATTCCCTAATTGATTAATGTCATTGGTGGCTCCATCAAGTGGAAGGAGAATTTCCAGTTCAGCAAAAAAATGAATTTTCACATGACTGAGATCAAAATCAGGATAAAGGTCTGCAAAGGAAAGAGATGCCAAATTTTAAGACTTGCAGAGCAAGCAAGTGCATCCAATTAAAAGCTGCCTGGTATGTAGGCAGTTAGATTTCCTCATTAGTTGCAGTTTGAGGATACTATATTATAATTCATTAATGCACTAAAAATAAAAAATAAAAAGTATTTTTAGGTTCACTCATTGCTCTGAAAGGATAATTGGTTACATAATTCAATCTAAATATTAAAAAAACATTTAGAATGTAATTTCTGTATTGCTCTTTGATCTGTCTTTAGGGAAGTGAAAACATTGAATTGGCAGCAAACCAGATAAACTGGGCACAGTTTCTGTGACTGAAAGGAAAGGGGAAAGGATTACTAGGAATTCCAGTAATAAAAAGACAAAAATAATCAAGTACAAGTTAGTGTTATAGCCTCCACTTGAAAAAGGCAATTCAGTATTGCTTTTTATTAGAATGTAAGATATCAGTAATTTAGTCCGAATAGGTTTTCTCTTCTCCAAACCAAATGTCCAAGAAATATTTAGAAAATGGCCTCACGGTGTTTTATTTGTCCTTATTTTTTTAAAAAAATCAAGCATGCAATAAAGAGATTGGCTTTTAAATGCTGGTTATAAATGCAAATTAACACTTTGTACAGCAATGTGAACTCGGTGAGCTTTGCAAGCTGTTTCAGTTACTGTCTCCAAGGCAAACTGGTCATTTCAACTTTTGGAAAACTTCAGGCAAAGCAGACAAGAAATGTGTAGGTCTATTTATTATAGACTTAGGGCTACAGGTAGTCCTTGACTTACAACAGTTCATTTAGTGACCGTTCAAAGTTACAACAGCACGGAAAATAGTAACTTATCATTTTTCAGATTTACGACCATTGCCGCATCCCCATGTTTAAGTGATTAAAATCCATACGCTTGGCAACTGACTCGTATTTATGACGGTTGCAGTATTCTGGGGTCATGTGATCTCCTCTTTTGCCACCTTCTGACAAGCCAAGTCAATGGGACAACCAGATTCAGTTAACAACTGCATTACTAACTTAGCAACGGCAGGGATTCACTTGAAAACTTGGGCAAGAAAGGTCGTAAAATGGAGCAAAACTTAACAAATGTTTTGCTTAACGACAAAAATGTTGACAGCAATTGAGGTCATAAGTTGAAGACTACCTATATAAGCCAATTCTCACCAACCGTGGGGGAGGGTATATACATGCAAATTAAAACATTTTCACACACATAAAGCAACATAAGAATGCCATGCTAAAGAGGAGTCTCCATTTTCCTAATGGATAATCAAATGCCCTGGGCGTGAAGAAGATGGGCCAGACAATGGTCCTTGATCACAAAAAGAATCAACCTTTTTTTTTGGGGGGGGGGGGAATCAAATTAGCACAAAGAAGCAAGATTTAAATAAGAAGATTTCTGGAAGCATTAGCTGAAGAAGTGCTTAAATCAGGGGTGTCAAACTCAATTTCATTGAGGGCTGCATCAGAGCTGTGGTTGATCTCTGGGGGGGGGGCGCAACTGGGTGGGTGTGGCCATCTTGACACCATTCCCCAAACTGCTGGCATGTTTCCTCTTTGCACTGGGTAGACCGGGCTGAAGCCACGCTGGCCCCAAGTTTCCTCTTCGCATTGGGTAGACCAGGCCGAAGTGACGCAGGGCAGCCCCTTACATTTTCCAAGCCATTCCGCAGACCCGATCCAACTACATTGCCTTGTGTTTGACACCCCTAGCTTAGATCATCATGTTAAACTGAACAAAGCAAACCAGGCACATCTCTCGGCATGCATTTCCCACCTCCATTCCTCTAAAAAGTATCCCAGATGCCATGCCATACCTGAGCTACCGCAAGTTAGTAGTGGTTTGTTAGTTGATTTGTAGTGCCCAGGAGAGTTTAGTGCATTGCTACAGGACCCTGTGTCTGCATTCAAGTTATGCACACTTGGAGATGCCAATGGACTGCAATACAGGGATTTCCACCTACTTGCTAAAGGAAGATACAAAAAAAGCCACAAATTGTTACCATGTTAAACACAGAAATTCAGATGAGAAGAGAGGGAGAGAATGTCAAACCACATCTGCATGCGTTACATGCCAGACACACTCACCCCCTGAGTCATGATACAAACCAATAAATTCAATTTCCAATTATGGCTGACAGATTACATCTCTGGAATTAAAACAAATGAAGACAATCCTTAGTTCTCCATGGACTATCCTGTCTTAGCATCTGGGACTCGCAGGTGTCAGACTGATATATGCTGTGGTGTGAATTTTACAATGTTCACCTTGGACATACTTGAGTCGGTTTGAAGTGCTAAAGGGAACTCTGAAAGATGAGCTGTGGTTCTTCTCTACAGCTTCCCAAATAACAGGCTAGATGAGAACATATCCAGTATAATGGCATTTCTCTCCAATGAAGAAATGCATAGCTTGCCATCTCTTATCCTGGAATGTGGATATACATTAAGGTGTAAGTTTTCCACCTGGACAATCTTACAAGATACTAATATTATATGTCAAAAAATTTCAACATGAATCAAGTTTCTGGAGTTATCAAGGACAGATACAGGTAGGGTGGTCTAATGAAAATATTATCTAGTGGGAAAACTGTTCTGGGTCCATTTCTCAAAATGCTTCTTTCTGGCTAGGTATGATGGAACTGTAGAATTGTAGCATCAAGATCCCCCCAAAAAACTTGGCATGGAACTATTAAAAGCAAATAAAGATTTCCCATCATTACCTAGGAGCTGAGATTTAAAACAATACTGAAAATTCAAAAAGGAGCAGCATTATTTATGAAAAACAATCAGTTTATTCTGATCTACATTGTCCTCATATTCTAGGAGTGGTTGACAAGTTTGTTTAATTTGTTGACAAACTTGCTAATGTGTTTAAGTTGTTACAGTGTTCAACTTAACACACTTTTAAAAAAAACAACAGTATTTAAGTAGCAGAGTGTTATACAATTTTTCTGTTTCCCTGAGAATGTAATATGATGCCAGATGACAAAATCAAGTTTTGCAAGTTTGCAAAAATCTCTCTAAAACCATTCTATACTATTTACTATAATATTAACATTTTCCACAGTAGCAAGGTACTCAAATTATAACCATTCAGAGGGCAGCAACTTACAGTACTAAATGTATTGTAGGTGTCAGAATTAAAATATTTTTAATATATATTTTTAAGTACCATGTACCAACTAGTAAATTTTTATATATGTGTGAATAATGAGTTACATTAAAGGACTATTTGAAATGAAACAGAACAACATAAAAACATTTGAAAGAAAGTATTTCCTTTAAGATTTGCAAAACATATTTTTAAAAGATTATCCCAAGATATCTTAATATCTTAATCTTAATATCAAGTGGAAGAACTTGCCACCAGAAGTTCTAAATGCTCCAACATTGGACATTTTAAAGAAGATTTTGGATAGCCATTTGTCTGAAGTGGTGTAGGGTTTCCTGCCTAAGCAAGGGGTTGGAGTAGAAGACCTCTAAGGACCCTTCCAACTCTGTTATTCTAATCTATCCTTATGAGGGCAGAGGAAATTCTCCAACTAGGACATCTAGTCCAAAGGATGATGTAAGCTTTCTAATTTAGGGCAAATCTAGAGGTAGGTATAAAAGATGGCTGGGTGATTTGGGGCTAGTCATCCTCTTTCAACTCAATCCATCTCACAGAGGAGTTGTTGGGGGGAAACAG